ATTATTATTATTATTATTATTATTATTATTATTATTATTATTATTATTATTATTATTACTATTATTGTCATTGTTTTATCATTATTACTATTATTATCATTACTATTATTATTTGGATTTCTGATCAGTATGCTAAATTAGTTCATAACATTTTCTAGCAAAAGCGAGGCGTAAAGAAAAGGAATAATATGCGCAGTTGAAATATCTCACCTGTTTTCCATTAAGTTGGAGTTTGCATCACTCATTTTATGTTATCACTATGCGGAGAGGAATAGATTGATAGTCTTATAGCAAGACGACATGTATAATTACGTGTAATCAACAAAATAGCTGTCAACTAAAATGTTATCAGTGATTGGGGTGGGTGATGATAACAGCATATTATTAACTGCGTGCAGTGAAATGAACTTCTATTCTCTGTATGCTCAATCAAGAAAGTCACTGTCATCGTATATACCGAAAAATTGCACCTATTCGAAATCTTCAATTTTTTCTGTTATAATTTGCTTAAAATAATAATTTCTTCAAAAAGTTGTGTCCGGTGGGATCCGGCAAGTAATCAGTTGTAATGATAATTATATTCAACATAAAAGCCGGTATTCCGGTATTCTTTTTTATTAAGTAGAAATTATTCTGATAAAATTTTAGGGATAAATATAAAAGTTTCTGGAAGGAAAATCTAACTGTGTTAAGTTTAATTTTATTATTCCCGGATTCTTTTTTCTTGCTGTTTTATTTATTGTTTCTCTTCTTCAGTTTTTCATTCATTGCATTTGGAACTATTTAACTAACAATTATTTCATTTTAAATTTAAGGCAACAAATCTGAATTTTATCAATAAAATTAATCACTGCCAAAGTAATCAAATTTCAGCATTGATCAGTTATTTACTTACGACTTCAGTTCAAAAGAAAAGAAATTCTTTAAGAAATTAATTGATCAGTGCTTTTGAATCGACCATTAAATTTTATTTTAAATCTTTGTTGATCGTAGGTAACATTCATCTGCCCATTGAATCAACTGAATTACAGATGTATATCACATGAGCTACATTATCAGTACGTATCAGATAAACTGAATCATCAGTAAGCATTATATGAACAAAATTACCTGCATGTATCATATGAATTGAATTATCAACCATCACAGGAACTGGACTTTATTGCAAGAACTGAATTATCACCACGTGTCGCATGAACTGAATTACCTAAATTACAGAAAAATATCGTACGAACTGATTCACGAGTGCACATCATATGAAATAAGTTACCGTACGTATCACATGAGATGAAGTACCAATAGGTACCACATAAACTAAATTACCAGTACGTATCACATAAACTGTGTTACCGGTACCTATCGCAGACCTGAATTATTGGAACGTATCGCAGAAACTGAATTACCAGTACGTGATGCATGAATTTAATTATCGATACGTACTGCGTGAAGGGAGTTGTCATATTGTTCACGTGGTACTGCTACTCTCCTATACATTATTCCATTACTAATTGCTCCTATTTCACTGATTAGATTGTAAAATTTGATTCATACATAAAATCAAAAAGGATCATTGCTTAGATCATCGATCACCGGGGGATAAATTATCTTCTATTTGATGGCTGTGTAAATTAGCATATACATGGGATTAATATATATATATATATATATATATATATATATATATATATATATATATATATATATATATATATATATATATATATAT